TAAAAGCGTTTCTTTATCGCGCACATTATTGTCGAGTACGCTTCAGTATTGTAAAACCGTATTTTTGTGCAAAAAAAATTGACCAGAGAGGTCTAAAAAAAATTCTGTAGAATACAATCTCAACGTAAAACTCGAGTGACAAACTTATACTAATCTTCATTAAAAGTCACGTGTTCGACAAAATAATTTAACTTTATTAACGAGATTATCATTAATCGAAGAACAATAAACATTTGTGAATCAACAAGTAACGTGCATGTTTGAATTTTCGTACATTTGGGCAGTATTTTAAAAACTAAATTAAAATTTACTACAGAAAACGATGCACGAACAGTTGGAACTGCATCCTTAAATACAAAAATTAAATTTCATAATCTATAAAAAAATAAAAGTTGATTTGGACATTACGAATATACACAACATAAACCACTGTTAATTTCGTTATTTGGAAGCTTCGATAAATAATACAACACCAGAATACTCGTACATAAACTCGACAGTCGTTCGTTAAATTTTAAGGTTAATTCTTGGATAAACCAGTAAACAATTCGACAAGACGTACGTAGTTCAAATTAAAAAAATATACAAGCACCGAGCCATGAAAAAGGCACTCGATATTCGAACAATTACCCTACACCGTGACAGAAAATCTGTTTGCATCGGGAACGATGGACCGGGAACCGCACGCTGTCCACACGGAATCCTCGACATTTAATATCGACATCTAAATGTCCACTTCACTGATCCCACGTTCCCCGTCGAATCTTCATCGATAAACGCTGTATCACTGCGGGAGATAAGTGTCGAAAAGTTCGCGCTACGCGTGTCGCAACGCGCTTATCGAGCGCGTAACACGTTGCCGGAATCGACGAACGAAACACGAAATGACTCGTACGATGTCTGGAGATTGACTGCGGTCGCCCGCCAGCCGGTCGAACGAAAAAAAAAGAGAGAAAAAAAACAGTACGTTTCCACGGGTTCACGGGGATCGTGTTCGCGAACGCTCGGCGCACGAAGAATCTCTTCGATCGGTTCGAGCCCAGGGGCTTTGCACTTTCCCTCGAGTTTTCCCGTGGCTCGTGGAAGGACACCTAGCCACGACGTATCCGTCACGAGAGCGTGTAACACGTGTGTTTTCCGTGCGGACGCCCCAACGTTACTGTCAGCCCGAATGTACAACTGCTTAGGCGCGATCAATACGTTCTAGATACTCCAGATGATCCAGATGACCGGGCTACGTTGCCATTGACAGGGCTCGGGATAAACGTCGGTGCACGCGTGGGAAAGATGACTCGTTGAAATCTGACATTTTTCTAAACAATACTACCCTAAACAATTTTTAAATCACTGCCAACTTCGAACGCAAATGCTTTCAAAATTTTAAGAATATGAACAATTTTCTTAACATAGTTTTTTTTTTAAATATTTCGGTATTCCGAAGTCAACGATTGAATGTTTAAGAAATTGTTTAAATTTGACAAAAATTTTCTATTTTAAAATGACTCGGTATTTTGAAAAGCGTATACCAACTTTTACCCAAAAGTTTGAAAAACTTTTAAATTTGACAAATTTCCAATTTTAAAATGGTTTGGTATTTTGAAAGTTCTATGTAATGAGAATCTAAATAATGTTTTGTATTTTTGGTTGTAGCTTTTATTGAAACATTTTATGCGTATAGTGTGATCTTTGTGGTATCGATATGTACAAAATGGCGCCCATTGAAGCGAGAGAATTGTTATACTGGAGATGTAAACAGCATTCAGATAATAATCAACTCGAATAATTTATGAACAAATTTAACCTTGCAAGAAATATAATATTAAAATCGAAGTTTTAACACGACTCACGTTGATTGTCAAATATTGAGAATAGTTTGAAAAATAATGGCTCAATTAAACCGGTTCAATTTGGGGAGCCAAGTAAGGTTCAATTTAAGCAACTTGACCTTGGAGTTTTTGCCACACGTGTGGCCTCTTTACCGAGGACAAAGATTTTTCGTCGGTACATTACAAAATTACCATATACTATATCTATGTCACTGCTGTATAATAAAGTAAAATAAAGTATCTTGCGGAATTGTGAACCAAGTAATGAATTTAAAAATGTTTTTAAATGTTTTTATTTATTTCACTCCCGGACGAAACAATTTCTCATTTTTATTATTTTAATTCAAATAAAATATGCCCAATCCAGTTTAGTATTTTTCTACTAATTTTTGTGCAACGCTGCTAATGAATGGCTGAAAGGGAAAGAAATAATCGCGTAAGGTGAAATCGCGGGAAGAATTATGATTGCAAAATTCCCAATAGAAAATACGAGCTATATTAAATTAATTAACGAAGAGGCGAAAGAGTCGTGGACGCAGGATGCAGTTCCATCGATGAAACAGCATTGATTTCTCACACAAAATAGTATGAACTTCGATCAGTTTTCAAACTATGAAAAAAAAATTTTCAAAAAAAAAAAAAAAATTTTTTTTTCAAATCGATTTATTATTATCGCGACGAATATTGTGCTAGGCTTTTAGCTCGGAACACCTATCGCGTAAATGGAACTCGATCGACCCATAGTCACTTCCGGAGATGAGATTAGCGGCGATTGATTCACCTTTTAGGTTCGCCCTTAATGAACGGATCGCATCCTGGATATCGGGCACACCCTAGCAATTCTTCGAAACCATCTTGTCCTATATCGAGGAAGTTGTTCCATTAAAATTGCTTCTGTTATGTCATTCCACGGCACGATTCCAGCGGATGAAACGGTCTGCAAAATAAGGCCAAGCCCAGCGGAGTCGTAATTCCGCGCCAAGTAGCCGTTGCGCTAAATCACGGATTTTTACAAAACTGACGTTTAACGAGCAAACGTTAAAAACGAGTCGAAAGAAAATTTAAGCGATGCAAATGCTACTTTGCTTTCCGCTTAACGTCGTGGATTCTCGCGTGACAAATTTGGAAAAACAAATTCTTCCCCCTCCCCCCCTCCTCTTTAATTCTTTGGTTCTTGCTAAATTCGACGTAATAACTCGTTCCAATTGCGTGGCACGCCTTGCACGAGTGACATAACCTTAGGATTCTTGACCGAGGATGACTGGATACAGTATTTTTAGAGGGGATTCGCATTTCGACCCGTAGGCGTGAAACGTTCGATACGAGGGCCGCCTAATTATGTATACACACAATGTTATTAATAGCCTACACAAGATTACGTGTATCTTTATTCTTTGTAGTACCTCGTTTCCAACCTCCACTGTTCGTTCGCTTCGTATACGATCGGGAAACGTTATTGGACAAACATTTAATTTTGCATGAGAAATATTTAATTAGATAATCAGATTATTACGAAAGATTCACTTTTTTATATCTACCTCTATTGTTAGACAGAAGCAATCGCGAGAAATAATAGACTTATTATTATTTATGTAACTTGTCTGTTATACAACACTTTGTTCAAACGATTCTGTTACAAATAATAGAGTAAGCGTTACGCGAGTGAATTTAATATTCAATTTTTACCAACTCGACTTGCCCCCCTCGGGATTCTGCTTTTTGTTAAATTTTATTTTATTCTTACAAGCACGATTCAAAAATTTTAAGCGATTGCAAGATATATAACTAAATTTTGGTATGTTTAACGACGTTTCATCGTGTATTCGCAATATGGCGCCCCAGAAGCACACGCCCCCCTTTTTGTCTCTATTATCGTATACAGGGTGTTCGGACAACCCTGGGAAAAATTTTAATGGGGGGTTCTAGGGGCCAATATAAGACGAAAATCAAGAATACCAATTTGTTGATGGAGGCTTCGTTAAAAAGTTATTAACATTTAAAGTTCCATCCGTACTGAATTTTTTTCTCGAAAATGCGCAAGATTTCGGGGGTATGTCTAATCACTAAATATGATTGCAATTGACCCCCTTAGCTAAAAATATTTTTTTTAGAACAATTTAAAAATTTTTAATTTTGTCGAAAAATTTCGCCCATATTCGAATTTTTTTCTCGAAAATGGGTAGGATTTCAGAGGTATGTGTATTCACCAAAAATGATTGTAATTGACCCCCCTAGCTAAAAATAATTTTTTTAGAACAACTTGAAATTCTTTAAGTTTGTCGAAAAATTTCGCCCATATTTGATTTTTTTTTTCGAAAATGGATAGGATTTCGGAGGTATATCTATCCACCAAAAATGATTGTAATTGACCCCCGCAATCGAAAATAATTTTTCCAGAACGATTTGAAATTTTTGAATTTAATTGTTAATAACTTTTTAACGAAGCCTCCATCAACAAATTGGTATTCCTGATTTTCGTCTTATTTTGGCCTCTAGAATCCCCCATTAAAATTTTTCCCATTCCTAACACCCTATATAGAATCAACCATTTTATTTTATTCTTACAATACAAAATAAAATAAAAATAAAAATCAATTACAAAATATGCTGTTAATTTTATTTATTTGTATGTACGTTTGCATCCTCGCAAAATGGCGTCCAAATGCACCTGTTGGTACACATGGAAGGTTTTAAAAATGTCCGCCAAGTCCGCGGTTGCTCGCCCGTCGACCGGGAGAGCGAAACGAAGGGTCGTCGATGAAAAAACAGGATGAGCATAGCGCACCTTCGCATAACGTCATCGCGACACCTTGAATGGTTTACATAACAAGTGCCACCGGCCACCATACAATGTCTGTTCTCCGCCGTTTACGACGCACGTTCGATTCTGCGCCGTGGCGTTCGTCTGGCGCCATTCGAATACGGGAAATTTACGAATCGAAAGTTACGGTCCCGTGGTTCACCAAGCTATGAATACTAAAGTTACGAGCAGCATTCCGTTCGCGGATACACCCTTAGAATATCTTCGTGGCCGTTTTTGGTTTCCGATATCTTTTTTCGAATCGCCTTCGCCGTTTGCGTGACCCCGATAACATCGTGCGATCGTGCACTCGTTAAACCGTTTTTTCGTCGTTTATATAGACGACTATTTTCCCGGTAGAAAAAAAAACTTACCCATTTCTTGCCTCGCGCCGTGTGCCGAATGCCCGTTTACGTGCATCGTCGTGCTCGAACTTTTCTTTTCATACTGATGTTGCTCCTTCGTTGAAGACTTCGTCTCTGGGAATAAACACAAACTGGTTTCAGTTTATAGCGTTATATTTACATACGTAAACTGACGAACCGGTAGACGAAATTTGATTCGCGTCGGGCGGAAATAGCGGGAACTACAGGGGAGTCACAAACACACAGACTTCGACCTGTACGTCAATAATTCGACGAGTTTTGGAAACTAGGTACACCAACGTAACAGATGGACTCTAATATACGTTGTAAAAAATATTTACGTGACTCATTTTGCGCGGAATATTACAATTTTTTTTTTTCTTTTTATTCTGTGTATTTCTGTTCTGAGAATGTAATATTCACGAAGAATTAAAGTCCGTTATTATCCGGTTGATAATGTTCTCAGTTCCTTCGTCGTCGATGATTGAATTCCTGCCGCGAGTAGGAAAAAAATCCGCGCGACCTTGGCCAATGAAAACGAATGGCGGTGCACGATCGCGAATACTGGCGGAGTCACTTCGCGAACTATTTAGGACACCTTTCTCGCTTACGTTCCCCTCGACGCGAGAAGAAAGCGTATTTTATCGCGCCGATTCGGATCCAACGAGACGGCATTGTTCAAATTTTGCACGTTAAAAAAGATATTTTGAATAATTCCCATTCCTCTTATTCAAGGTTTTTAATTGCGGCGATCAAGAAAGATAAAAATGTTAAACAGTTGGTATATCAGATCTAATGTCAGCCTTCTCATGCTTGAATCTGATAAAGTCGTTGGAAGGCAGTATACTAAATAAATCTTTAAATATACATATATCATATGGAAAAGTTAAATCGAAATATGTATATTTCCATTTTAACCTAAAATTTGGTATTTATTGGCCTCTGTACGCAAAATAATGAATTCTAACGATGAATTCGCGATGGTGGTCGTCGAGAGGATCGTCAAGGAGAGCGTGAATCAGAATACGAGGAAGGAGCGGTGGGAGAGCCGGCTTACCCTCGAAAAAGGTTCGAGAATCCTTCTGCTAACGCAAGCATTTCGCCCGAAGCGGATGTCGCTGAAAGCGCGAGAGACGCGGGAACGAGGTGAAACACAAAACCAGTAAGCATTGACCTGGCCAGAATGCTGCCTTATTGGTGCACAAGACTGGCCCCCACGAAGCTTATTTTACGATATTGCCTCCGAGCCGATGCACGCGCCCCACCATTCCTTCCTTATATGTATCAAATGCGACGCGGATAATTGGTTCATCGTTCATAAGTAACCTCGATATCAAGTACGCCTTAACGTTACCACGGTGTCGCGTATCCCCATAGAAACTCATTTATATAAACTCCTCTTCTCGTGTAATTTCTGAACATTTAGGAAATTGAAATATTCTTAATTCTTAAATAGGATTAAAAGGTAAACTAAAAGGACTGATACATGTTCATACAAGAATAACGTTCGCTGCATAGAAACAGTAGTAAACGAACGCGTCGCTAGAGTCGCGCTCGATCCTGCGTAAAGCTGTCGAATGCATAACCTCGAAAACGAAACGTCGCGAAAACAGTTTCGTTACACGTTTTAAACTTGTTTCACCGGGAGGTCTTTCATCTTCGACGGCATAATATCTTTCGTTCCGACGAGGCGAGATATCCGTTTATTTTTACACCAATAATTATAATCGAGAGATGGATCGTTCCGATTAATAATTCATACCGATCTGTTCCGATCGGAAGTGCATGGGGGAAAGAAATGTCTATCGAGTTTACGGACGAGTGCCCCGACGGGTTGCGTTTCGTGCACGGCGTAATTAACTTCGGTAATTTAACGCTCAACGAGCTGTAAAGCGTTATATTTACGTTTGTTGGTGCTTTCTACGCGCGTGGCGCTGCATTCCTTCAAGTCCATCGAGTGGACTTTTTCGCACGGAGGACCCGCGTGTTTCGTTGGTCGCTCGTTCCCGATGACCATTCGGCGCGCGCACGCTCCTTGTACTTTCCTTGTTACGCAACGAGACGCGAACGACAACCGATTCTAGTCGCCAGCATCGGTTATGTTAATGGTAAAAGAGTATTTGCATGAGCGCAAATTGATGTCACGACGCTATAAATGGAGACTGCATCGATGGGGCCCCGAACGAAACTCGCGAGTCTCGTTGAACGTAATTCTTGGTTAACAGAGTACCAGTACGCGCTCGAAGTAGATCGTGGCTGTTTGATGAGGGTGGGAAAAGCGTGTCCCGTGTTTATTTGCTCCTCTACGGCCATCTTCACACCGGCAACGGAACTGCGGAGCCTCGACGAACCGAACTTGGGAGTAAAACTATTTTTATTGCGATTTCATTTTCGACGTAATTTACCGTACAATGGGTGGGAGGAATTATCAGTGAAATCACTGCAATTTTTTATACATTTAACGATGAATTTCTAGTTTTAGAATTTTTTATAGTAATTAATTCGACACGTGACAACCGTTATGCTCTCGTGCAAAAATTGTATCGTGAAGTTTCTCGCTATAACGCGTGGCCTGTGTATTCATTAGGCATAATGAAGCATCTTAATTATTCTGGAACACCTTACGTAAGAGCGCTGTTGGCTCTATAGCCTGTCATCTTAGTTTTGTACTTGTTTAGGAAATTCTGGAGAAATGAAAGTTAATTAATTTTAATCCAGGAATATAAAATTCGTTCAATTCTTTTGCAAACTCGTCAGTACTTTTCTGACACGTTTTGGTAATGTAATTATGTAGATTTTTACGGTACTTGTTCTTTGCATTGTACGTCTATACAGGGTGTTTTGAATTTTAACAAACTTTTGTTAGTATATTTTATGGGTATGAATAGAATACGTATCTTCGTTGCAATCGACGTCATTGGAGACGAAATTTCCATTTTGGAATTGTTAAAACGAATAACATCACGTGTCGTAAAATATACCATCTCTAAAAACTTTACCTCCTCTTGGTATTCGTGGAGAATATATAAACCTTATCCATTGGCACGCTCGACGCGATTATTTTACGAGGTTATGTTAATCTTGCGGTATCAAATGGCATTTCGAGCGCTTCATGCTATCGTTACAACATCATAAAACGACAAGGAAAAGAATCTATTTTATATAATGTTTTCCCTCGAGCAGAGTTTTCCAAATTAAGTTACGGATTCTTGGAAAATCATAATTGATTATCCAAAAATTTAATTTAATTATATACATGGTGTTCGACCACCCTTGGGAAAAATTTTAATGGGGGATTCTGGAGGCCAAAATAAGACGAAAATCAAGAATATCAATTTGTTAACTGAGGCTTCGTTAATAAGTTAGTAAGTTATAAAAAAATTTCAAATCGTTCTGGAAAAATTATGGTTGGTTGCAGGGGTCAATTACAATAATTTTTGGTGAATACACATACCCCCGAAATCCTACCTACTTTCGAGAAAAAAATTCAGATAGGTTGTGAAATTTTTTGGCGAAATAAAATTTTTCAAATCATTCTAAAAAAATTATTTTTAGTCGCAGAACTCGATTACAATCATTTTTTGCTATTACACATACCCCCGAAATCCTACGCACTTTCGAGAAAAAAATTCGAGAAGATGCCTAAATTTTTCGACGAAAAAGAAAAATTTCAAATCGTTCTAAAAAAATTATGTTCGGTTACAGATCTCAATTACAATCATTTTTGGCTATTACGCATACCCCCGAAATCCTACGCATTTTCAAGAAAAAAATTCGAGAAGATGCCTAAATTTTTCGACGAAAAAGAAAAATTTCAAATCGTTCTGGAAAAATTATGGTTGATTGCGGGGGTCAATTACAATCATTTTTGGTGAATTGACATACCCCCGAAAACCTGCGCATTTTCGAGAAAAAAATTCAGTAAGTTCAGAACTTTGAATGTTAATAACTTTTTAACGAAGCCTCCATTAACAAATTAGAATTCTTGATTTTCGTCTTATTTTGGCCTCTAAAATCCCGCATTAAAATTTTTCCCAGGTGTGGCCGAACACCCTGCATATGTACATTGTTATAAAAGAAATATAACCATTCGAAGTTTGTCGAAGCACCTACGCGTATTACGCTATTTGAAACTGATATCACTTTTAAATTAGGTGACTCCGCCCCCACAGCCATGTGTCAACGACCAAGTAATGACTGTATCACATTATTTCTTCGAGTCCAACGATCGCAATAAATATTTCTTAAGAGACATTTTTTATTAAACGCGTATGGAAGCAATTTTTAAAAACGAAATCGAAACTATTTTCAAAATTTTAATCATGAATTTTTTTCTATTTTTATTTAATAAAATACGTTAAATTTGGAAATTTCTGCGAAATCTTGTTTCAACGAAATAAACGATACTAATAGATTAGAAAAACGGCAGGCGTGCGTAATAACGAGTCTGTCCGAATTAATTCCCTTCGAGTCTAGTTTCTTGATGTACAGTATAATTATTCTATACTTCCATCGCGCGCACATAAATTACGTTTTTAAACGTTTATTTTAGATCCCGCCACTGATTGTTCAAGATATTTTCACCCACAAGTAAACTTTGTTACGCGCCTACAGTTTAAATGCTCGTTCCGGAAGATAAATTGCAACGGCCATCAATGTTTTACCACGAAATCGTAATATTCCATTCGACTTCTATAGTTAGTTTCAGCAAAAGTAAGGTGTCGCTGTTTTCGGAAGCGCAGCGACGCTTCCAGCGTACTATTAAAAATTTTTTAAATATTTATTTGGAATTTATTTCAAACGAAAAAATTATTTCCAGATACGTGACAGAGTCTTTCTTTGATTGCAAAATTTTTGTTTGTTTTTTTTAGGAGAGGGGGGGAGAATTAGTCGTCGGGATTTCAAATAAATTGAAATCCACTTCAATTCCGTGAAAGTTTTTCTAGAAAAGAAAACCCAGACCACATCGCGGAGGTTTCCGGTTTCTATGCTAAGGTAATTCTAAGGTTGGAATTTAGTATCATCGGATTCTACGCGAAAGGTGAACTGTGTTGTGTGTCGAGTAGGTATTTCGCAGCGCCAAAGAGATAAAATCGCAAAAGTGCTCGCTAAGA